TTGGAAGGGGGGGGGGGGACGTTGGGGGCGATTGCCCCCCCCCCTTTTTCCCCCAATTTTTTTAAGATTTGAAATCGAGCCTAAAATATTGAAAGTTCTGCAGCTAAATAATACGACTTTGAGGTTTGAAATTGCCGCCACAAAACCCATCCAATCAACACTCACGTTTAACTCAACTCGTGCAGCGCTATTGACCAATGAAATGAGAGATACTAAAAAGTAATGGCTTGAAGTGAGATTTTAAAAAGTTGTAAAAATTATCGCACAAAAACATTAATAACATTGTAATAAGTGAAAATTGAAGGAACTTATAGGGCCAGACGATCCATATACACATGTCCAATTTTTTTCGGTTTCAGATTTATGTTTTTTAGACTTACATTTTTTTGATAAAAATATTCCAAGTAGTGCTACAGCAATATTGCAATATTCTTGTTCATTAATATTGATGAAAGATTAAGCAACCTTACCCTCAAAGCTCCCAGTACCCGGGAGGTGCTGTCCAATTTTTTCTTAGTCTTGGACTTGTATTTTTTCTACATTTTTGCTTAAATACTAGAATCTTAGATTTGCTTATGGTTGCAGGAGATCCTCGGCAGGGGATGGAGAGGATTCTCCAGCAGTCAGTAGATTCTGCTACCGAGTAGGAAGCTCAGAGGAAGGAAGATCTTAATGCATTCCTCGAAGAAGTTGGGAAAAAGGCCAGTTCACACTGATGTGCCCAGTTCCCTATGATGGGGATTGTTTCTTCACCAGTGTGGTGACGCAAACTGGGAGAGTAACAGGGACGATGCTGCGAGAGCAGGTGACAGAATTCTTGACATCTGGTGTGAGTTTCATTAATGACATATAGAAGTACAATGACTTTGAAGTGAATCCTGGAAATTTCCTAGCATTCCTCAGAGCAATGTCAGAGCATGATGAAGACCTGAAATCCCATCTTGAAGCTGCTCGAGCAAATGCACGATATACTAGCCCTAGCTCACAGAATGAGATGATTGATGTAATTGCCAGTTTCCCCCATGAAAATCTAATCAAAGAAGTCAGACAGGCCAAGTTCTATGGCATAATGGCCGACGAGGTGACATCACATGACCAGGAGTTTATGCCTCTTTGTATTCGCATTGTTGATGAGAACAACAATATTAGAGAAGAATTTCTGGAATTTAAACCCCTGGAGCGTGTACGTGGATGTGATGTTGGAGGAGCCATTGTCCGATCCCTAGAAGACCAGCAAATCCCCATAGAACTCATGAGGAGCCAGTGTTATGATAAGGCTGCAAACATGTCTTGTGAACGTGATGGTGCCCAAGCTTATGTGAAGGCAGCAGGTGCACCCCTTGCAGCTTACACACATTGTAGTTCACATGCCTTGAACCTGGTTATATGCCACTCATCATCAGATACCAACATCAAAGCCACACTGGATCAGATAAAGGCTGTATGCCTTTATATTAGTCAAAGACAAAGTTTTTTAGTCAAAGTCGAGTAAAGTTTTCAAAAAACACAATTTTTTCTTGTTTTTATTATTGGGAATGTTGTGCTGAGATATGCTTAAAATGCACCAGAGAGGGTCTAAATTAAAAAAAATTCTGGGGGAGCATGGTCCATCCATACCAAAAAGTAACATACATGGACCCTGTGGTATTAGGTATTGCAATAAACATCAACAAATATAAATTGATTTTTCATTTTTCAGCAAGCCATATCAAGACTTCCAATTACTGATTGTCAGTCTCCTCCTGAAGGTGCTAGAAAGAGTTCCCGGAATATTATTTGAAATTTTGGAGTCTGTACCACCAGAGCCCCCACGTACAAACCAAGATCCTCTTGTCGGATGGTGTACTTGCTCAAACTGTAGGCCAATGCCAACTTTATTGGAAACGGTTTGTTGCGGAGCTAACCCCACTGACTGTGTTTCCAAAAGACCAGTAAGTATGCTTTAAATCATTGTTTCACTTTGCAGTGTCAGCTTCCATCATTAAACAGAAATGTCAATGTAATTATAAGACATCTGATGAAAAATAAATAAAAAAGATTGTTATTTGAGGATTTGTCATTTATTGTAGTAGCATTGGGCATTGTATTGGGGCACATGGCATGGGGAACTACTGCACAAGTACTCAAGAAAGTATGACCAAGATCTTATGAGGTCAAAGCTTCAAATGGAGGAACATATAGAAGGGATAGATGTGATTTACTGCACACCCCAGATATTTACAACAAGCCCTATGCCCATACCTTAGATCCTTGCTATATTCCAACAATGATCCTTGATCCATATCACACCTGGCTAAGTGACTTGTATCTAGGTCGACCACCAAGAGAAATTATGAACTTAAGATGCATGTACAGGCCTATCAAGAGGGTGATGCTGTTTGGTTGCATGTGCCTGCGATTAAAGAAGGGCGAAGCCCTAAACTTAGCAATTTTGGGCATGATCCCTTTAAGATTACTCGTCAAATTTCCGATTTGCTGTATGAGGTCTTGTTGGACAGTGGTAGGCTCACTGTGGTACACCAAAATCGGTTGAAGCTTTACCAAAGTTCAGCTGGACCTCCAGTTTTGTCAAATGAGCTGCCAGAGGATGCTCCGGATGAACCTACTAAATACCATTGCTTCCCCTCCTTCCAGGAGAACCAGAAATATGCCTGGGTGGTTGGAGGGATATGAATTGTAATACGTTGAAATGTATACTTAATTTAACTTGTGTATTCCAGGAATGTAAAGCTGTAAGATAAATGCAGCCTCGTGGGGTGCAGATGAAAACTATTATGAGCTTAATGTACACTACGTCAGAAATGATAGGCCTGTAGCCTGCAGGCACGCGGTCAAGAAGATACCTGCTTGGTACCGCTGTGGCTGCCGAGCAGGCAAAAAGAAGAGGATGGGAAAGCTACGGGCAGCAGCAGCCACTGTGCACACTACTGCGCCTGCCTTGTCCTAAGTTACTCCTGCTGAGCCAACATCTGTGTCAAAATCTGTACCTCTGGTAACATATGTAAACCCCAAAACTCAACCTGCTGTCTCATCTGGTCCTCCAATGATGCCCTCTCCTGGACAATTGAAATCTGCTGACCTGTCTGATAAATCTCCAGTACAGAGACAAGCTATATCTGAACAATATCAACCAAAATCCACATTTTGTAGCAGTACTGCTATTATGACATCACATCACAACCCATCAATGCCTAGGGATTCCCTCCTGGGGGAGGCCATGGGAGAGATTGATCCCACCCCATGGAAACTGAATTTCCATGACTAAATTAGGGGTTGGGATCAAACTTGAATGAAGACCACCAGTTTTAAACATTCTTCACCAGTTAACATTAACATACACCTTTTGATGTCTGATTTTAGCGCATTTAAATGATCCTGCTTGTTTTCAGTTGTTTTGGATAAGATGTTTATATCTACATTCTCTTGACAATGAGTAAAAATATCGCTTTCAGGCATATCTTGATGAACAGACATACAAAAACACTCCTACCAACTGTCACATCATTATTGACACAACAAAATTCAGACATCAAAGAAAAACTCATTTCAAAACAGCAAAAACAAGCTGTACACTTTAACAAAGGCGCTAAAAATCTTGATATTTTGAATGAAGGGGATGTTGTGAGAGTGAAACCTTTAAAATTGAGGGAAAAAATTGGAAAAGCTGTGGTTCACAAAAGACTTGATGACAGATCTTACGAAGTTGAAACAGAACACTCCACTATTTACAGACGAAATAGAGTATATTTAAGGAAAACTAAAGAGGACCCATTGACAGATTCACAGAAGAAAACTCTATTGCACCAAGAAACTTAGAAATTGTAAGGTCAGAAAATAATTCTGAGAATCAAGATCTAGTTTCTGTTTTACTCAGAAGTCCTATCATCACAAGATCAAAAAGTACAAATCAACTAATAATACTTCTGGCACTGATAAAAAGCCTATGCCAACAAAATCTAATATTCCTATACCAGTTAAAAATCACCTGGCACTGAGATCTGTGTAAAATCAACAAATACACCATTAGAAGGCAACCAAAGTATCTAAGTGACCATGAAACAAGATGATAACATCAATATCTGATGAATTTTGTGTTGAAACAAAATTGGACTTAATTTAACGTTTCTGAAACTTGCTTAAAAACCATATATCCTGCATAATCAGAGTGTGGAAACTTACCATATAGATTTATGCTGACTCACATGAGAAAAACATTTTAAACTGACAAAAACAGATTTATTATGTGACCAACCTGTCACAAGCAGGAAGAAACACTTAGAATTCAATCTTTTTAATTGTTGAAATAGCACAAGTGTGAAATTCCAGTCTTGTTTTTTGGTTTTGGAACAAGACACTTGATACTTATTAATTATTATAAGTGGACATATACTCAGCTATAGTTACATTTACTACAAGCTTATATTCTTATTTTAACACTACATCATTGACCTCATAAGGTTATCAGTCGAGTTCCCAGAGCTTATAACATAAACAATCTCTAGAATTTGATACTGGACACTACTCTTCTGTACATGATGGTATAAATATGTCAACACTCATTTTAGATAAAAAAGGAAAGGCTATTAGAATTTGTAATTGAGAATTCATGATACTGTAAACTGAAACTTAACTTTGAGAAAAGAAAGGATGTTGCAATATGAGCTTTAAGAACCTATCACCCCTATATAGCATAATGGACCAGTCTATGTAAAATATATCCATGTAGTTTTGAATATAATACTTCACTTCCCTATGTTGGGTTTATAAAGCTATACACTTTATATATCTCAAGCATTGTCTTTTACTTAAATAAACTCTCATCTTGAAACACTCAGTGACCATTGTCCTCTAGAAAGTTATGTGATGATGAGTTGGTACCTAAGCCACAATGCATGAGCACTCAGAATGATCCTGGACTGCACTACAAAGCTTTCCTGGGGGTCAGGAGGAACTGTTGCAGATAGTGGGCAGAGCATAAAAAGGAGTGAAAATCAATGTGGGGATGCACAAGTCCACAGTGTAATGGGATGCACAAGTCCACAGTGTAATGGGATGCACAAGTCCACAGTGTAATGGGATGCACAAGTCCACAGTGTAATGGGATGCACAAGTCCACAGTGTAATGGGAAGTACAAGTCCAAAGTGTAATGGGATGCACAAGTCCACAGTGTAATGGGACATACAAGTCCACAGTGAAATGGGAAGTACAAGTCCACAGTGTAATGGGATGCACAAGTCCACAGTGTAATGGGATGCACAAGTCCACAGTGTAATGGAAAGCACAAGTCCACAGTGTAATGGGATGCACAAGTCCACAGTGTACACCAATGGGGCAAGTTGGGACCTCCATAGAGTTAACATTGCATGGGACCTCGTAGGACATTTTGGGATTTTGCTCCATGAAGCCAGTACCAAAAAAAATTAAATGACCCACATTTTTAGTTGGAGTGGGACATTTCTTTGAACCAATCGGATTATATGATTATTTTGCGCACATGAATTATTTGCTTCTGAGCATTTACCATAAAAGCTAACCACAATAAACAAACCTGGCGGAGATTACCCTTACTTCATTTTAGCGAAATGTCAGCTCAAACTCATGACAAATGCATTATGCTAGCCTTGCCCAAGTCGTTATTTTTTTTACTTATCTGATCTTGAATTATTACCGCCTTGTACAATCCAAAACATCCCCGCTGTTATTATGCTGAAATATTCAACGGTTTCGAGATTTCCATAATACGTATGCTATCAGGGGTATCGCGAAACCTTATTGATTGACAGATATCGCTTGGACACGACGTGTGACTTCAGGCTGAATGACCAATCAAAACGTTATCAGGTTGAGCTGCATAAACAAAACAAACTTCCCATGTACGACTTGAAATTCAATGATCTGATCGGGTGTTTCTTTAGAGTTACAATATATTATGTAATTAAATGTACATTGGAAGGTAAGAGTCATTAATATAAATTAAAACATGCGATTCAATGTTGATTTAAAACTGATTTCGCGATGAAAATGCACAAAGACCTAGTCCAATGTAGCGGGTCATGTTGTCGTCGATCGGTGATTGAATCTCAGCCTACATGTTTGAAGGGGTCGTTTCACGTTTATTGTTGAAATCTTTTCACCTTTCGTGATCCGATCGATGCCCCGGCATCCACTAAACTCTCATTGATATTTATCTGATAAAATATTCGTATTTTCATGAAGAATTCGGCTCAGATTCATGCAACTGAGATTTGTTCGTGAAAAGTCCCGGAGAAAAGTGTACTTGTTTTTGACCGTGCATAATAATGAGCTAACGCTACAGGGCCGTCGTTGATTGGTCAAATTTTACCGACATCGACAAACTGTCGGTAAAGCACGTGGCTTTCTCTTTGGTACAAGGCGGTCATAATAGAAATCAAGATAAGTAAAAGAGAACGACTTGGGCAAGGCTAGCATTATGCATACTAGACTATATCCTCTAGTCTGAAATTTTTTGAAATTTGGAATGAAAATATTCAGACTATAGCCCACATATGTTAAAATTTGGGATCTAAAATAATTTGTTTACATAGGAAGTGATATTCAAAATGGCCCATTGGGTAAAGTAATTTGCATATTGGTTACTTCCCCTAGCTTTATTTCCATTTGACAATATGCTGTGTTACTTTTTATAGCATTTAATTGTACTGTGACGGGACAGGCTTTAGATGATGCAAATGAATCAGAAAGTTTGAAGAAATTCAATATTTCATCTGTCCCCTGTGTTGAATGGAAAATATAAGCAATCATATCATTCTATTATTACCTCATTCGAAAGATGAGCTATTGATTGTACTTCGCTGAAGATTTGTGATCTTGAATGTACAGGATTGTTCTGTAATCTTATAAAACTCAAGAAGTTCGAAGAAATTTCTGACAAAGTTTTGTAGATGGCGGCTTCGAAACCATAGTCTCATTGACGTAAGATTATTTGATGAAAAGATTGCATAAATCCACATTAAAGTTAAGTCTAATGTATACTATAATACATTCCTTCCAGTTATAGAGGTATTTATATTCCCATAATGTCATAATGTAACGTAATTTGATGAAGAAGCCGTATTCCATTTTGATAATTTCTAAGAATTAAGATGACGTCATAATAGCGGCGTTCAATGATTGGCTATATATTCTAGGAGCGGGGAATTCAAATTGCTTTGGAACCTTGAAAGCAACCCGGACGGTACCTAATCCTCCATACAATCCAAGGTAATCCTCCAGATAGCTAATCCTCCATGAATGATTGAAGTGATCAGTGGAATCTGGACTGTTTGATGAATGAGTCTGTGAGTGTTAGAGGGAAAACTGTGATGAAAAACCAAATGAGACATAATCCTCCAAGTGGACCAATGGCCTTAGCGCTGGGTTTTGCCGATGGAGGCGCTGCATAAGCGCCTTGTGAGCTCTTCAAATGGAGAGGGAAAAAACATCATCATAGCAACGAATCGCAATTTTTTTTAATCATGTAAATATGTAAAATTTTGTGCAATAAAATGCCCTCCAGGTGTGCAGTTTTAAACTGCAATGGTTCAGGTGGATTCAAATTCCCCCCTGAAGCACAGAAAGAGAGGAGAGAGAGGTGGATAAAGGCCGTACGGCGTCAGTTTATGCCGTCGTCATCCTCGGTGGTTTGTGAGAAACATTTTTCTGAAAGTGATTTTCTTCCCTCAGTTGCTGAATTACGTAAGTGTATATACACTCAGTTCATCTTAATTAAATGATCAATATGAAATAAGACATCCAAATGCATAAATTGGTCAATAAAATACGTTTTAATAAAGCAATATTATCAGGGTACAAAATGGAAGATTTAAAGTAATATTATAAATGTGTTTTAAGGTAACATGGTAAATGAGTTTTAAGGTTAGTATAGTAAAAATAAGTTGTTCAGATATCTATTTCCCTATCCTCAATTATATATTTGGAGTTCCTTTTATGGAAACTTGCCTACATTGATATGTGAAGATTTTGAATAGATGTTCAGTTTGAGCCTTGGCAAGAGAACTGGGAAGATGTGAATAAATATCTAATAAAAACATAGTCTCATATAATGTGAATAAATATCTATAAAAGCATAGTCTCATATATGGTGGAGCTGAAGACGATCAATGTGTACCTCATCAATGAATGGAATCTAATTATAATCTCCGTTCTAATCATCAGAGACATACAATCATGGCAAAAGCCCATATTAAGTTAGATAAATTTGATGGTGTATCTGATGGTGTGCGATGGTTTGAAGACTTAACCTCATTCATTGTGCTTAATAAAATAGAAGATGGTCAAAGGAGAGACATTTTAAAACTTTACCTTAAAGATGGAGCCAGAACATGGCTGGAGGCTATGCCAATAGACATTACCTGGGCAGACTTGAAGAAGGCCTTTGAAGCCCGTTTTCAAATCAAGCAGTATAACACTGCTGAATTGAGCACACTACTATCATCTGGTACGTTGAAGATGCTACCAGACGAGTCCGTTAGATCATTTGTCACCTGTGTGAGCGAAATTCTTAGAGGAGCCAAAGATCAACTGACACCACAGCAGATTGTTAACATAATAGCAAATGGACTCCCAAAGTCTATTAGAAATCACGTCGTGGCGCAAGATCCAAAAAGCGTCAATGACATTATAACCACAGCAAGTTTATTCAGCACTACGGAAGGGAACGATGCCTCAAAGACCTTGATTGCGCGGCTAGAGGGTATCATCGATGCGAAAACAGAACAGATAGCAGCAATGGTACTGAGTAAGACTGCAGCAGACATTTCGACAGTGATGCCATATAACTGATCCCATGGAGCGAACAAAGTGGATGCAAACCCCCAGAAAACATGCAGATGGTGTTTGGGTAAGTGCTTTGATAGGTCAATGTGCCCTGCACTAAATCAGTCATGTTCATTTTGTGGAGTTAGAGGTCATTTTTATCGAGCATGTCTCAAAAGGCAGAGATCAAATCAAGGTGCAAATCAAAATAACCAGAGATCGAGGGGTCCCTCACAAAATTTTAGATATCAGACAATGAGGGGACGAGGACGTGGCAGAATGTATTGACATAACAAAAGTCCTCGGAATGACATGCACAAAATACCATCTCAAAAATCTTCATTTGTTTCTATTGCATCAACAAATCTGAAGAAGAATTTTGTAAACATTAAATTTAGATCATTAGACAATTTTACTCCAGCTCTCATTGATACAGGAGCTAGTGTGTCCTGTATTTCAAAGAAATTATTGGTTTCATTAAACATTGATGGATCTAGAATTATACCCTCTGAAATTAAAAATGCATATGGTGTTGGTGGTGAATCTCATACAGTTCTTGGTACTATCGTTCTTGAGTTTAAAATTGGTGAGGACAAACAATATCAAAAATTCCATGTGTTTGAAAAACTGCACAATAGTGTCATTTTAGGCATTGATTATCTTAAATCATACAATGTTACACTCAAATTCAATGAAAATCCACCCATACTAACGTTTTCTGATTCAAAATCTGAGACAAAACATGTGATAAGATGTGTTCAGCCAGCTGGTATTCACTGCTATGCTAGAACTTTAAGGTCAATTTTCATTAATCCTGGTGAGGATGTAAACATGATTGAGAGTATCAAATTTAAGCTATGCAACTGACTGCTTTCTTCAGCCTACTAGCAAATGGTCAAACACTAGCAATGTTTTGGTTATGCCATGTTTGATAAAGGTGCAAGATAATAAATCATCTAACAGCAATAGTCACCTTACAAGTATTCAAACCAATGTTTATACAGAGAGGTAGTGTCATAGCTCAAGCAATTCCATTATCAGAGATCTCTTCAATCCAATCTGAACCAAATATATCTTTAATCTCTGATAATGAAGGTAGTCATTCAAAACAATCGAAAAGTGAACCATCCGAGATATTCTTAAAACAAGCCAATGAACTTCAATTAGACATGGGTAAAAGTCAGTTATCCAATAAGGAAAGAAAACAGTTGTTTCACCTGATTGGCAAAAATAGAAAATGTTTTGCAAGTAACATATCTGAGCTAGGGTCAACTGATATTTACATTTCATTTTCATTCATTTTTATTCCCTAGCCTAAGCTTAGGCTAGAAATCTGTAGTCTAGACAGGACTACCCGTCAAGCTAAAGTACATATCATTATAGTCTTTATAAAGGATTTCATAGATTAATAGCAAAAGACACGAAGCTTTGTAGGTACATCTATAACCGTCTAGGTTTACATTTAATTTTCAAATGACAATTCAATCGAGATCTACATGTAGGCTATGCTAATTTTTTTCTGTTGCAGATCAGAGAAAGATTCTTCGTAGTGGCATAGTCCCAACACTTAATCTGCCTCCAGGACGTGGTCGCAAACGAAGAATTACCACTCAAACTACATGTAGCAATGAAACTTCCGATGGTTTTGCAGTAACATTTTTTGATGATTTTGACTGTTGAGGAGACTGTTTGTAATCCTCCAGGGAAATTTAGAATAAATTTTTAAGTTTTCTTATGCTATACGACTATGGGTTAACCCAACTAATTGTTATAACATGCGTATTCCCATACAAACGATCTGTCTTCAAGAGAAAACTAAGATTTGTGGACATGTTTTGCTATCATTGCATCATACCCCAGTATGTCCTCTGTCAGTCAAAAAAGTTTGAATCAAAACTCCCCACGAAAATCAAAAGATCTCACCTGTTGAAGACGCCATCTATAGAAAATGTCAAAAAATGTCATTCTGATTTTGACAGATGGAGGCAGGTCAAAAAGGTCAAATTTTTTAAAGAAAATGCACCTTAATCACATCAAATCATGTCTCAGAGTTGGTCCACACATACACTTTTTCATTCATGTACTTACCAAAATCCAACCACTGGTGATGCTAATGTAATTACAATAATTGGACTATATTTTTGTTTTTATAATGCCATCTATTCGTCTTCCCACTCGGCGGAAGGATCTAATGGTTGTGTGTCTCCTAGTAGTGACCCATCCTTTAAGTTACAATTGTAATTTCCTCCAAAATGTAACCCCAAGTTGTTTTCTAGTAAAATAATACAAACCGCAAGCAGATTCGACTATTTTTTCCAGATATATGAATGATTAAAGTTACCCATCCCCTTTCTGCAATTAGATGTTTTCCTGGGATATTGACTAAAATTGGAACCCATGGCTAGATGTGTTGGGAGGTGTCTAGTTTGAGATGGGGAGGTAGTACAGAGCTGAATGAGCTATATCTGGAAAGCACATTTTGCCTAGAATCAATTTTTGTAATTTAAAGAAATAGGCAATTAATATCTCTTATTTATGCGCATATTTAATAACACGGGGTAGATTTTTGCGAAAAAATGCTTATTCGACACTTTTGGGAAATAGTACAGACCATCGTGACATTAAACTTTGTCAAATGATAGAACAATTCATGTGTTATCAATTACATAAACTAATTGTAATCATTATTATTGCTTCTGAATGTTTACAGAGAAATATTTAGTATGGAGGATACAGAAAAATTGGTCATTTTCTCCAGTTGTTGTTCTACCCTGGGGAATATTCATCAAAGAAAACCAAAACAACACACATTTCCAATTATAGGTCTCCCAATTGATAAATGATCATTCTGAACACTGTATTTGATTACTTAGGGTTAAGTCAAGGTTAGGATTAGGGGTTAGGGTTAGGCTTAGGGTTAGGCTTTAGTTAGGTCTAAGGGTAGTGTTGGGGCTAGGGTTAGGCCCTGGCTTAGGGTAAGGCTATAGTTAGGGTTAGGGGTAGTGTTGGGGTTAGGCTTAGGCTCTAGCTTAGGGTTAGGCTATAGTTAGGGTTAGTTGTAGTGTTGAGGTTAGAGTTAGGGGTTAGGGTTAGGCTCTGGCTTAGGGTTAGGGGTAATGTTGGGGTAAGGGTTAGGGGTTAGGGTTAGACTCTGGCTTAGGGTTAGGCTGTAGTTAGGGTTAGGAATAGTGTTGGGGTTAGGGTTAGGGGTTAGGGTTAGGCTCTGGCTTAGGGTTAGGCTATAGTTAGGGTTAGGGGTAGTGTTGGGGTTCAGGTTAAGGGTTAGAGTTAGGCTCTGGCTTAGGGTTAGGCTATAGTTAGGGTTAGAGATATTGTTGGGGTATAGGGTTAGGTCATGGCCAATGATTTAGCCTTCTAGAGCAAAATTTGTGAAAATTCCAATAAAAATCATGGAAACAGTTGAGAAATATGACCAAAAGTAACAAAAAGTTGACTCCTGGTTGGAGCCTATGACGGATGTGTTGGGAGATGTCTAGTTTGAGCTGGGGAGGTATCACAGAGCTGATTGAGCTATATCTGGGTAGCACATTTTGCCTAGAATCAATTTTTGTGATTTAGAAAAATAATCAATAAATTTCTCTAATTTATGCACATATTTGAATAACACGGAGTAAATTTTTGCGAAAAAATGCTTATTCAGCACTTTTTTGGGAAAAGCATGGACCATAGTGACATGAAACTTTGTCAAACGCATTGAGAGAGATGAAATTAATGAAAGTCCCAATAAAAACTGGAAATAGTTGAGATATATGACCAAATTAAAAAAAAGTGGTACTCCAGAATGGGCGATAATAGGGTTAACCCAACTAATTGTTATAACATGCGTATTCCCATACAAACGATCTGTCTTCAAGAGAAAACTAAGATTTGTGGACATGTTTTGCTATCATTGCATCATACCCCAGTATGTCCTCTGTCAGTCAAAAAAGTTTGAATCAAAACTCCCCACGAAAATCAAAAGATCTCACCTGTTGAAGACGCCATCTATAGAAAATGTCAAAAAATGTCATTCTGATTTTGACAGATGGAGGCAGGTCAAAAAGGTCAAATTTTTTAAAGAAAATGCACCTTAATCACATCAAATCATGTCTCAGAGTTGGTCCACACATACACTTTTTCATTCATGTACTTACCAAAATCCAACCACTGGTGATGCTAATGTAATTACAATAATTGGACTATATTTTTGTTTTTATAATGCCATCTATTCGTCTTCCCACTCGGCGGAAGGATCTAATGGTTGTGTGTCTCCTATACGTGTAGTTTAGCATCCCTCCTGTTTTGGAATCAAAGAAATAATCCACATTGATATCAAATCCTATATTTAGAGAGTGATTCATGTGTAAATTAATGGAGAAATAATTCAATCTTATTACTCTTTTGCTGAGTGATTTTATAATCCTCCGAGTGCTGTGTGACCATTTATAGTGTTCCTGAGTGGAGTCGCAGATATTTTCTGAATTTTTTCACTCAATTTTCTTGCTTTTTATACACTTTATCAAAACATCCTTCTCACAAGTCTTTTCTAGGCCCCTATACTTGAGAATTTCTGTCAACATCACTGCGTACCCTTATCTTGAAAGCCTTACATGCAACTTTGGCCGAAGAGTTCTTGCCAAGAAACTCATTATCAATACAACTTATCGACCAACTTCAGTGCATGGCCGCTAAAAAATGGCCGGCATGATCATGATGGATCATGGTTTTTGAAAATGCAAAATCTCACCTTAAATTGGGCTGAAAAGATCAACTTTCAGGCACATCATCTGGTCAAACTCGTATTTGAAAAGTCACGTCCATTTTGATATCATCTACATGAACGACTCGTCGATAAACGCGGGTAGTTGTTCTTCTTTCTACACATTTTCTCCGATTACATCCTAGCGAGATTCAAAGGAACTAAAATGCACGAAATTCGCGAACGGGCATTGAATGAAGTTCGCATTTTACTTGGAAGAGAGCACGTATGTGTTGCTACGGTAGTTTTGCCCACTGAGTGGCGTAGCCAGGATTTGGTGACCGGGGGTTCTATTTTTATGTTATTCACAAATCCCCCCCCCCCTTCAATAGGGTTCCTCAAATAATGCAATTTGTTCAATTACACTCCCTCCAAAAGTTTGGCAATCCTAACTAACCCATTGGATTATGTATTAAAGCATCTTTAGGTTTGAATTCTTATATGCATAATTTGTAAAGAAAAAACTATTTTGGGAGGGGAAATATAATTCATTTTAGTACCTTCATTAAGATAAGTAGACAATTGAATTTGAATTTTATTTAACAAAAACGATGTCTTTATTTACTGAAAGTAATAGGCTTTATCAAGAAACCTCTCCCATTGAAATAACCTGTCAGAAATAACACAGGACGTAAAAATG